AGGGCATTATAACAAGTAGGTGTTGAATTTGATGGAATGCTCTTTCATCTGCAAGATACATCTCCCTCTACCTGTTAGTATAGTGAATTACATTGAAAGATCTGTCTAATAACTGCATTATCCTTATATTGCTTGGAAAAGCTCTTCTTGACTTCAACTCTTTTTACATTGCTGGATTCAAAACTTTAAAAAATTTAATTAAGGTTTTGGCATCTGTGTACATACGTAAGTCTAGCCTATAATTTTTTGCTGTGCAAGCATTACCTGATTGTAGTATCAAGATTATACTAACCTTATGAACTGAGATAAAAATCTTTCCATATTTTTCTATGATATGAAATCAGATGGGAGTTAATCGTCCTTGAAAGTTTGAAATTGAAATGCTACTCGTGGATTTTCTTGTGAAAAAGGCACCAAGGTCAAGTGATAATTTTATATAATTTCCTTTATGGTTACTGGTCCATGTCAGACTTTTATTTCTTCCTGGATCAATTTTGGTAATTTATAGTTTCCTTAAAATTGTCCTTTTTTACATACGTTTAAAATCTGTTATATTCTTTTATATCTGCAATTATGTTTCTTTCATTCCTGATGCTATTTGTGCTTTGCTTGTTTCATATTTGCCAAACATTTGTCTCTTTTATTACGGGTCTCATTACGGGTCTTCGTAATGAACCAGTTTCTGACTTAACTCACTCGTTTTTTTGTTTGTTTGTTTGTTTGACTAAATAACTTTTTCATCATTCCTTTGTTTATACTTTATATTAGCTTAATTTATCTTCACAAAGTTTCCTGGGTTAAAACAAACACATATTTATTTCTAATCCTTCTTTTCTAATGAACCCTCCACTCACGTTTTAAAAGCTGCTTTTACTAAAGTCCAAAAGCAATAAAATTCACTTCCCACACAGACACTGAATGAATCAAACTGTTTTCTTTGTTGACTTCCACCATTTGGCAACCCATTTATGAAGGCAGCACTTCATAATTTAATCTTTTAAGCATTTCAGATAAGTCTCTACACAGCTTCTAAGCATTAAGCCCTAAGCTTAATAAAACTAAGAGAATTTATTGAAGAATCACTCAAAAATAAATGGAAGAGGAAAAGCCTTAAAATTCTTTGTGTAGAGAAAGCATATGAAAGAAAAATGCACATGTGGACCTTCCAAAAAACTGACATGATGTTTCCGAGGGTTTACCAGTTACCCCTGTATGGGGAAGAGTCAAACAGAGGACAGTATGAGAATCAGGCTTTGTGAGAAAGATAAGAATCTAATTCCAATGTTTGTGCTCAGGGCTGATCAAAGGCTGTTCTCCAATTTCAACCCAGAGCCATGCTGTGCTGGGAGTCAGGGTTACTGCTTAAAAATCTGCCAAATGAGTGGGCAGAGGTGAGAAATGGAGAACTGTACAGTTGTTATTTTTAAAGGATTTAATGGATTGACACACAAAGCAATGACAACTGGGTAGTGTCTCCAGTGATTAGAAAGAATGAATGGCAATGCTCATAGGTTTATTTGCTCAAACTGAAGTTGGACCTACAAAGTCCACAAATCTTAAGTGTACACCTTGAGCTTTTACATATGTATACACCCATGTATTCATCACCCAGATCATTTCCAGGACCTGAGACGGTTCCTTTGTGCACTTCCCCACTTAGTACACCTCTCTTAAGGTAACCACCATTCTGGTCTCTATCACTATGGAATACTTTCACCTGTTTTTGAAGTCTTTACATATGGAGTTATATAAGTGAAATGTACTCTTTTATATCTTTCTCTCAATATCATTCTGTGACATTCATCCATATTATTGTATGTCTCAGTAATATTTAAAAAAATAAACTGCTGCGTAATACACTGTATGACTTATTTATTCATTCTACTGCTGGGTTGTTTCCCAAATGTTTTCGGCATATTTAAATAAAGCTATGAACATTCTCATACAGTAAGTCTTCATTTAATGTCATCTATAGATTCTTGGAACTGTGGTGAAACAACATAAAACAAAACCTAACTGATATGAGAGTTAAATTCCCATGGCATCTCATTATAACAAAACGACTTTGAATAAAACAATGCTAATTAAGGACTATCTGTATGTCTTCTGGTGGACGTAAGCATTCATTTCTATTTGGTATATACTCAGAAGTGAAAATCCTGTGCAAGAGGTTATATATATGTTTAGCTTTAGTAGATACTCCCAAAGATATTTCTTAACTTGTATCAATTTACACTTCCACCAGCAATGTAAGAGTCCCAACTGTTTCAAAACTAGTTACTGTCAATCTTTTTCCTTTTAACCATTCTGCACGGTATGTAGTAACATCTTATTTTAGTTTGTTTGCATTTGATCACTATTTATGATGGTCACCGTTTCATGTTTATTGCTCATTTTGAGATCTAGTTTTATAAAGCATCTGTTCAAGTCTTTGCCTATAATTTAGATAGGCTGCTTTTTTTGTTTCTGAACTGTAAACATTCTTTCAGTATTCTGGATTTGCATTCTCAGTAAGGTATATATTACAGATACACATTACCTTTTCACTCTTTTGGATGTCTCTGAGGAACAGAAGTTCTTAATTTTAATTAAATACAGTGTATCTATTTTCTTCATGGTTATGCTTTTTGTGTTTTAAAAAACAATTGCCTACCCCAAGTTCATGAAAATAATCCCCAATGATTTCTTTTAGGTATCTGATTATAATTTCAATGTGTGAGATAGGCATCCAGGATCATTTTTTTCCCCATATGAACAAGCAAATGACTCAGGCTATTTAGAAGACTTTTTTCTCCACTGAACTCCACTGGCATCTTTGTAGTACATCAAGTGACTGTATATGTGAGAGTCAGCTTCTGAGTGTCTATCCTTGGGCCAACACAACTCTGTCCTAATTACTACAGCATTATCAATATCTTATAGTGTAAATTTTCCAGGTTTGTTATTTTTCTTCAATATTGCCTTGGTCATTTATCAATTTCCACCAAAACCATTGGCTGAGATTTTGACTGAGATTCCAGTGAATTTGTAGTTCAATCTTCAGAAAACTGACATCTTACTAATAGAGTTTTGCAACCCATAAAATATCTTTCCATTTATTTAAGCCTACTTTAATTTCTCCAAGAAATGTTTTGTATTTTCAGTGTAGAGGGTCTTGAACATCTTTCAAATATTTCAAGATTTATACCAAGGAATTTTTTTGTTATATATATAAAACAATATATATATATTTGTTTGTTATATAAATAAATATATATATATATAACCCATTATATAAATGGGTTATTTTAAAATTTTGTTTTGTATTTCTCTTTTGCTAAGTATATATAGTTATCATTGATCTTTCTATATTGACCTTATATTCAGCAATCTTGCTAATTCACTTATAACTTCTAATAGTTCAACTATTCTTCTGGAGTTTCTGTGTACTCTATGTCACCCATAAATAATAGCAGTTTTCTTTTATTTTTCCAATCTTGATACCTTTTTATTTTCTCCTTATTGCACTAGAATCTTCAGTACAATGTTGAATGGCAATGATGATAGTAAACACTCTTGTCACCTTCACTTGCAGTGGGAAAACATTCACTATTTCATCATTAGTTACTATGGTTGCTATAGATTTTTGTAGCTATTCCTTAATATATTAAGAAAGTTCCCTTTTATTCTTAGTTTCCTGAGAGATTTTAATGTGGGTCATGTGATTTTTCTCCTTTATTCTGTAGATGTGGTGAATTATATTGGTTGACTTACAATGGTTAAACACAACAACATTCTCCTTGATCATGATATGCTGCTGTTCTGTAAGTGTATTACTGGATTCAATCTGTTAATATTTTGTTCAGGATTTTTGTATCTATGCCCATAAGAAACATTGGAATGTATTTTTTTCTTTCTTGTCATTGATTTTTGCTCTTACCTTTATTTCCTTCTTTTTACTTTCTTTGGATTCAATTTCCTTTTCTTCTTCCAGCATCTTGAAATAAAAGTCTGGAGATCACCAATTTTCAACTGTTCTTTCGTAGTACAGACATTTAAAGCAATACATTTCTAAGAACGGTTGCATGGTATCCCATAGTTTTTGATATCTGTATTTTCATTTTCATTCATCTAAAATATTTTCTACTTTTCTTTGCGATTTCTGATTTGACCTACAAGTTACATAAAAATGCACTGCTTAATTTCCAAATACATGAAGATATTCTAGCTACTTGCTACTGAATTTTAAGTCCACAGTGTTCAAAGGACATGTATTGTCTAATTTCAGTTTTTTAATATTTGTTGCAACTTGTTTTATGGCCTAACCCAGTGGCTGGCAAATACAACCACAGGCCAAATCCAGCCCACTGCTTATCATGTGAACGTGAATAGACGGTATATTTTGCAGTAGATGTATGTAGCGCCATATATTAGTTAAATCAAAGTAAACTATGTTGTTCTAATCTATGTCCTTACTTACTTTTCTATACTTATTTTATCAGCTACTAAGAGTTTTCTTCTAAATCTCCAATTATCTCTCCTATTAGTACTGTCACCTCTAGCTCTATGTATATGTGTGTGTACACCTGAGTTTGGCATACAAGTTTAGGAATGTTCCTGATTTTCTGTTGAATTGACCTATTTATCATAAATGTCTCCATCTCTCATGATACGCCTTGCCTTAAAGACTACCTTACCTGATGGTAATTTCACCATATCAGGTTTCATTTGGTCAGTCTTCGTATACTATCTCTTGCCATCCTATTAATTTCAACCTTTTTGTGACCTTATATCTAACACTTATCTCACGTGTATCTGATGTAGCTGTGTTGTGTTTAATCTAGTGTGCCAACATTTGTCTTTTAACTGGAATATTTAGATCATTTACATTTAATGCGAATGAAGCCTCATTTTTCTATTTCTTTTCTAGTTCTCCCACTGATTCCCTGCTTCTTTATTCTTCCTTTTTACTTTCTTTTGCATTAATTGATATTTCTTTATAATTTCACCACAGCTTTGTAATTTTATCTTCTTTTATTGTCCTTTCAGTGGCTACCGAGAAATTACAATATGCAAGCTTTATTTATCAGTATACTTTCAATTATTTTTACCACATGCACAGGCCACACAACAATTTAACTTTATTTACTCATCCTGGCTTTGTGCTATTGCTACATGGCTTACTTTTACATATGTTACAAATACCACAAAATATTGTTACTGTCAATTGAAATGATCAATATTTTCTTCTATTTATTCATATATATTTACCCTTTCTAATAGTCTTCATCTTTCCTTTAGGTCCATGTTTTCATCTGGACCATTCCCTTTAATCTGAAGAAGTCCCTTAGTACTTCATGTAGTACCATTCTGATAACAATAAAAAGCCTTCAGCTTTACTTATCTCTTTGGAATAAAGCATCTTGATTTTGTCTTCACTTCTGAAAGATATTTTCAGCCAGGTAAAGAATTCCAGCTAGGGTTCCCACCCCATCTCACCCCCCTTCAGCACCTTAAAGATGGTATTCCATTATTTTCCAGTTTTAATAATTTTGTTGTAAAGTCAGCTGTCAGTCTTATTATGGCTCCTTTGAAGGAAACTGTCCTGTCCTTTTTAACTGCTTTTACTTTTTCTCTTTATCTTTGATTTTTCAGTAACCTGACTATATATAACATAATCAGATATGTTGTTTGTTGTGTGGGTTTTTCTGTTTATCCTGTTGGGCTTACTGAGCTTCTTGATTGAGTGAGTTAAAGTTTCTTATCTGATTTAGAAAATACTCAGCCATTTTTTCTTCATATATTTCTCTTGACCCTTCTTCTCTGTCCTCTTCTGGGATTCAAATTTCATAGATTTCAGAACTTTAGTCTGTGTCCCACATATCTCTTACACTCTGTTTTGCATATTCTTTTTCTCTCTGTGATTCAATTTGGATATTTTCTATTGACTTGTTCCTGAGTGTTTTCTCATCCCAACTCTGATGTGTCCAGTCTGGTTTTTATCATTCTTCTAATTAATTCTCAACTTCAGATATTATATTTTGCAGTTCTATAATAACTATTTGGTTCTTTTCTTAATAGTCAGTTAACTACTTGATTCATTATCTTTTCATACATTTATTTCTGTTTTAACATATTAGTTATTCTGAATTCCACTAACAAGTTATTGGCCAAAATTTAGTCACATGGCTCTCCCCAACCACAACAGACCAGGAATGCTATTCTACCTTGTTTGGGGAAGGGATAGAGATAGAAATATTTGGGGAGCAGCATTAATAATTCCCACACTTTGTTAGGATTACATTTAATTATATGTCAGCCTGGGTTTAAACACAGGCATTTCTGATTCCAAATACTTTTGACCTTTTTACTGTATCAAATCTTCTTTTGAGGGCGAACTTATCATGAAATTAATTTTTTTCTATAAATGTTTAAACTAGGGAAAGTTGGCTTTCTTTTCTAATCTTTGAATGGAAAATTAATACTGAACATAATAAGTAAAAGTTCTCATGATGAATTGGCTGCAAGTCTATGTTTTTAAAGCTTTTAAATTGAGATCTAATATACACATGGAAACGTGACAAATCATGAGTATATTGTTCAATAAACGATCATAAAGACACCTTTGTATCCTGTTTGAATTTACAGATAAATAGAATCACATGTTAAAAATGCTTATGAGTTTGGCTTCTTTCACTTCACATGTTTGTGATTCATCCACATTATAGTGTGTAATTGTAGTTGGTTCGTTTTATTTCTGTATAGTAGTCCATAAAGACATCATAATATATTTATCTATTCATTCTGTTCTTATTGGATGCTTGGGTTGTTTCCCCTTCAGCACTATCTCTAATGGTGATACACTCTCCTGTACATTTTTACAGTGCATAATATGCATGTACCTCTGAAACTGCTTGGCCAAAGGTCATATTTAACATTTCCAGATACTCTCAAATTTCCAGGAATATATTTTGCAGTATGAAATGGGATTAGTGCATCAAAGGAACTGAGTTATTGTTATTTAATTTTAATTAACAGAAATTTAAAATTTAAAACATACTCTATTCAGTTAGTGGAAAGCTTTTAAGTTAATTTGGAACAACTTCAATATGTGAGTCTACTTCTTCAAATCTAAGTTTTAGAAAACCTACATAAACAGGGAAGTCTTTTTCTGTGGCTACCAGAAAATTTTAAATTACATATGTGGCTTACCTAATATTCCTACTGGATAGTGCTACTCCACACCACATATAAACAAGATAGCTGAAAACTCAAAACTACACAATCTGTTAAAATATGGCTACGTTGGTTGCAAAAATGGTACAGGATATTTGCTACATAAAGCTGCTCTAGTCCAGCAAAGAATGCCCCCATTTAGACACAGGTGTGCCTTCTAAACGAGAAAGCCTTAACCCTGTTTAAAATAAAATGCATACTGACTATAACATACAAGAAGATTGTTAGTAACAAAAGATTAATTAAACCAAGCCTTCTTGACTAGTGACTTAAATCGTATATATGCCGTTTCAAAACCAGTGAATTCAGAAAACAAATCACCCGCCCCCCCCGCCCGCCCCCCACACACACTTCTACACCCAAAACAACTGTCAATAGAGCATCCTCATCCAGAGTTAAATACAATGACCTGAGTTTGGTCTTCCTTTCAATTACATATTCTTAACAGGTGGGAGGGTGGGGTGAGGAGGGAGCCTGGTGCTGGTCTTTATAAACAAACAAACAAACAAACAAACACATACATACATACATACATACATACCACATGTACTAGTTAGTGTAACTATCTAATAAGCTTACTACAGCATAACAAAATGAAGTGGCCTTTGAGTGGGAAAGGACAGAGCCAGACAGCATGAAGTAGCAAAAGCAGAGTGGAAGAGGCCCCTTCCTCCTGGTGAGTCCCCAAAGCGAATCCTGCCCCGTAACACAGCACTACTGCACCTCCTAGAATGGTAGTTATTTACATTTTCCTGTAGGAGATGTAAAAACACTTCGTTATCCCACTCCTCAACAGCTGAGATGGCGTGACAGGTAGGTAGTCTTGGACTCACAGGGCTGCTCAGGAAGGCTGTGTGAGATCCTGAAAAAGACACAAGGCGGGTGGGGGGTGAGGGGGGGGGTGTACCCGCTTTTTGACACCAGCCACCGCGGATGCAGCTGCACCTTACCACCTTCAGAAAGCAAAATCACCCCTGCGAGTGACAAAGCTCTCAACTTCCAGCCCTGCCTTTCGACAGATTTGTGGGCGGGCAGGCCGGCTCCCAAGGCGGGCGACTTACCCAGATCCAGGGCCTGGTGACACCTGGGCAGCGCGGCCTCGGGCTGCTGCTGGCGCTGCAGACACCGCGCCCGGCCGGCCAGCCTGCGCGCGCGGCCCTCGCCCGGGAAGCACTTCTCCAGCAGGCGGCTCAGCACCACGTGGGCGCGCCGCGCCTGCGGACGCGCCGGCCCCAGCTCCAAGCGCCGCCTGCACACCGTGAGCCCGCTCGGCAGGGTCACGGGCCGGTGGAGCAGCCGCTGGCAGCGCGGGCAGCCGAGCAGGGCACGCGGCGCGGCGGGCGCCGAGGCCGACGGCTCCTCGCTCGGCTTCCCGGCCACTCCGGCCCAGGGCCGCCTGTCAGCTCCCCCAGCTCCTCGGGCCGCAGCGCCTTGAGCCGCGCGGCCCCGCGGAACGCGCCCAGGGCCTCGGGCAGCCGGCCGGCACGGGCCAGCGCGCCCCCCACAGGGCGGCGGGCGCAAGCTGGGAGCCGGGCCCCGCACGGCGTGGGCGGCCGGGCCCCGCAAGGTCGGAATCCACTCGAGCGGTGGCGGGCCTTGCCCACGTGAGGACCGCTGATCGCTGCACTCCCTTATGGAACACGGTCGCCGGTGGGAACGCCGGGACGCCCTCGCCGGGTCCGCGTCTCCAGCAAACCCGCCCCCTCCTCGCCCCGGGCGGCCCCGCGCCTGTGCGCGCGCTCCCTCCGCCGGGCCGCTTCCCCCGAGAGCCGCGCTGCGCTTGGAGCAGGTGTCCGGGCGGCCGGGTGCCCGGCCCTCGCCCCGCCAGACCAGCCTGGACGCGGAGGCCTGGCCGCCAAGACATCCTGTGGCTGTGATCAACACAGACAACCAAGCACATGTTCCCAAGCATCACGTATCCCTAGCTTTGATTTAGGAAATTGTCTTAAATGATGGGAAACCTAAAGTCAGCACTGAACGGATCTCATCGCAAGCTTCTCTCAACGGAACTCTCAATTTAGGCAGGGACGTTTTAGAGCTCAAATTTAGACCAGTTATTTTAATAGACAGAGAACGTGAAGAAATACCAAAATAGGTGCTGGGAAGAGGAGGAATTTGAGAAATGGACAACTGTATTGTGCCCTGGATTAGGAAACAGATTTTTTTAAGTGTCTCCTGACGTGGAGTACCCTATATAGAAGCTGCTGGAAAGAGGGAGTTAAAAGCTACATTGGTGTATAAGCAAGGACTAAAAGTGTTCCTTCTGTGCTCATAAGCCAGTTTTTAGAAGCTTCTTTATACGTAGCCTCCTCTTCTCTCCCCAATATTCCACCATCTACTTTATTCTATGTATTTGAATGCAATAAAATGCATTACAATGTCACAGAATCATACTGTTCACTATTTCAAGTCGAAATTTCCTTATTCTAAGCTTGTGATGTTTTTCTGCATCGAAAGTTGATGGCTCAAGAAAAATATAAAATGCCTCGAATAAATCTAGTTTGGGAAAAGGGGAAATGCCTCATTAAGTGAAGAGAGAAAATTTTAGACCATTCCTGAAAGGAAAAAGGGAACAACATTGGCCAACCTTGTACAAATAAAGAAACGAGTGCAGAGTACACCACCCCTCCTTTCCATGGCCTCCCCTACCTGTCTATTCTGACTAACAGCTGCAGTCAAACTAGGTTTGGATATGTTTCTCATTGCTGAATTATTTCAAACTCTCTTTTTATTCACTTTTGAGGTTTTAAAAAAAAACATTTTCTTCATACAGTAACAATGCACTTATATTTGAAGATTGCTTATCCAACAATTTCACAACCTACAACCAGGAGCTAAGAGAAGAACACTTCTGAATAGTTAAATTGGTGCAAGCAAAGACTACACACTAAAGATTATGAAAACTTTGATCTCGGATCCTATTTGTTCTTCTTTTAGACAAGTTTCTAGGAGAGAACAGAAAAGAGAAGCTTGTTGGAGAGTATGTCTGCTGAGAGCAAGAAGTATTTAAAACAAAAATATTAATGTATTGTGAGGTTTATAACATGTAGAAATAAAATATGTAACAAAAAAAGCACAAAATCCAGAATAGAAATGGAAGGATACTGTTGTAAGGTTCTAACACTACATGTGAAATGACACAATATCCCTTGAAGGAAAACTATAAACTAAAGATGTATATTCTGAACCCTAAATGAACCACCTAAATATTAATAACACAAATAGCTATAGCTAAAAAGCTAACAAAGGAGATTAAATAGTTAGTTTTAAAAATTCTATTAATTCAAAAGAAAGAGAAAAAAAGGAGAAAGGGAGCAAAAAAAACAGATGAGACAAATAGAAAACAAATAGCAAGATGGCAGTTTAAATTTAACCATGTCAATTAACATTAATTAAATATTAATGGTCTGACCACCATAATTAAAAGGCAAAGATTGTCAAATTGTATTCAAAGATCCAAATATATGCTGCCTTCCAAAAAAACCTCTTTGAATTAGAAGATACAAATAAGGTAAAGGTAAAAGGATGGAAAAAGATATTCCATCATAACCCTTATCAAAATAAGGCCAGAGTGACTATATTGCTATTTGACAAAGTAGATGTCATAGCCAGAAGTATTACTAGGAGAAAAGATGGCCATTTCACGATGATAAGGGGTCAGCTGGTCAAGAGGACATAACAATCCTAAACAGGTATGTACCTAGTAATAGAACTTCAAAATATATGAAGCAAAAACTGACAGAATTGTAAGGTGAAATAAATTCATAACTATAGTTAGAGATTTCAATCCCCCTCTCCTACCAATCAACAGAACATGTATACTAAAAATCGGGATGGATATAGAAGACTTAAGCAGTATACCAACCAGCTCGACCTAGCTGACATTTATAGAACATTCTGCCCAACAACACTATAATACACAGTCTTTTCAAGTGGAACACTTACCAATATAGGACATATGTGAGCCATGAAACAAGTCTCAATAAATTTAAAAGGATTCAAGGAGTTGTTGGGAGCCAGGCAGGCTGGCTTTAGTAAAGCATATCTTGCTTTGCTTCTTGTTTGCTCCTTTCTGCACCTGGTGGGTGCTTAATTAACACTGAGGTATGTGGTGAGAATGGCCAGTTCCTTAGGAGACACAATAGAAAGATGGCTATCTGGGTTAAAGGAAGAAAGTGTCCTTGGAAACTGACCCCCTAAGGTCCCTCTGATCTTTAAGTCTCCAGTAGATGGTTAATGATCTGCTTTTGTATGAG